TGGGTACATGTAGCATCACCCATTATTCATTATGCTTAGGCTCATCTCTAGGACTTTTACAGTGCGTTTAGTTTGTTGTTTTCAAGTTATCTCTAGTTTTCAGTTTTATAAAATATTGAAAATGTGTTTGATTTCATATTCTTGAAAACGTATTTTAGAAAACAACATTAAACTTATAGCATAAAACTAAAAATATATTTTTGATATTTTGAATGTTTTCAGTTAAAATTTTAAAAACAATCAAAACATATAAACACAAATGTTCAAATAAAATTTTAAATTTTAAAAATATAAATATAAATATAAAATTCTAACAATGAAATTTAAACATTTTAAAGAATAAAAAATTTGAGAAAAAAAATTATAAAAATTTCTAGAAAAATAAAAATTTTAAAAAATAAAAATAAAAAGATAAAATATTCTCAATCCACGTTATTGAATTTTATTTTAAATCATGTATTTTGAACTCAAATTATTATTTATTTTTATTTTACTTTTATAGCGAAAAGAAATATTCTATATATTGCTTGATAGTAATTAAAATGAAATTGTTCTATTTTTACTGAATAATCAAATTTCATAAAACAATTTCTCAAAATTTCAAATTAAACGTATTTTCTAATTTTATGTTTTGAGAAATAATTTTTCAAAATGACAAATCACACACATTTTTTGTAATCTTAAAACACTCTCAAGACAAAAAAAGCTAAGAGCTAAAAATTGAAACACAAATCAACCGTACAATTATGGTGTGTTTGATAGATATTATTAAGAAAAGAATGTAATTTAAATAGTGATATAATCAGAAATATGTGATTAAAAAGTAAGGAAAAATTATTGATGTGATAAAAAATATTATTTTATTGAAAAATGTGTGCCAAATAGGGGCTTAGCCGATGTTCAAAAATAATTTTACTACAGATTCTAACATAAAATACATTTTACATTTTAAAAAAATATATTTTTTTCAACAACACATCCTTTAAAAATATTAATATTTTAAAATACATTTTCCTTGTGGCTCACAGAGGGAGTTTATGTTTAATGTTTGACCTTATCGTTTCATCACACGTTTTCTTCCTTTTAAAACTCTGTGTCTATTTAAAATGACGTTCATTCTGACAGTCAAATTGAAATTGTTTAGTGGACCAGAAAATAGTCAACAGGGACGGATGCACGGACAGCAAGCATGGAACATACAGATAGCTCCAATTGGTTAGTACACGTGTACGAAAAAAATACTTCTAGATAAAG